GAAGGAGGAGGGAGGGAGGGAGGGAAGGAAGGAAGGAAGGAAGGAGGAAGGAAGGAGGAGGGAGGGAGGGAGGGAGGGAGGGAAGGAAGGAAGGAAGGAGGAAGGAAGGAGGAGGGAGGGAGGGAGGGAGGGAGGGAAGGAAGGGAAGGAAGGGAGGGAGGAAGGAAATGCAAGGGGGCCCAGGTGTGATGGTGAACACCTTCAACTCCAGGGCTGGAAAGGCAGTGAGTGGCCAGTGGATCTCTAGAACAGCCAGTCAGAGTTAAAGACCCTGTCTCAGAAAGAAAAGGAAAAGAAAGGAAGGATGGAGGAAAAAGAGGGGGAGAGGCTGGAAAGGTGAGGGAGACAGAGAATATAGTGCAGAAGGTCATTCTATCACGCAAGTCCTGATAACTTCCTGAGGATTCGTGGAAAGCACACAGAGCCTACAGTTAAGCAGCTTTTCTAAATGGAGGGGCAGGGAAAATGACAACTGTAACAACGGCCCAGACCGCCATAACTCCAAGGGGCAGATTTAACACCCACTTCAGCTCTGCACCATCAAGACCTAAAAGACAGTACAAGAAGTCAAGTGAAGCAGAAAATGTGATTCATGTATAAAACCATGTAGTTCGTGAAGATACCAGACATCTTCGTATAATAGTTTTGAGGTTGAATATGGAGGGGGGGGGAAGACTCTTCCTTTATTCAAAAGATAAAACTCAAATCACCATTTCCCAAATTATCAGGAGCATCCACTGCTTCAACAAAGATTTAATGCTTTAATTCCAAAAGGAAAACAATTTTTTTCCTCCCCATGTGCTTACTGTCATCTCAGCCTAGATCTCAAAACTTGAAATTCAACATTTAATCTATAAACCGATTCTCTTACTTGTACAGATGAAAGAATATCACTATGGAATTAAATTTATTATGTGATGAGTCAACAGTTTGTTTTTTACATTTATTTAGCCTGTGGGTGTATATGTGCATTTGTGTGGGCCACAGCACAGATGAGGAGTCAGAAAACAACCTACAGTTGGTTTTCTCCTTCTATCATGCAAGCTCCAAGGATGAAACTCAGGTTGTTAACTGGCAAGCACCTTTACCTGATGAACTATCACCTGGATGGATATAAAGGTGATGGTTTATGATCACACTCAAAAAGGCCTCTAAAGAAGGAAATGCTAGATGGGCATTATGGTGCACGCCTGTAATTCCAGCATTCCAGGAGGCAGAGGCAGGTGGATTTCTGTGAGCTGGAGACCAGCCTGGTCTACAAGAGTCCAGGTCATCCATGGCTACAGAGAAACCCTCTCTGGGGGGAGGGAGGAATACTGTAACCAAGTTAGCTGAAGTTTAACATATTTTAAAAGCACCCAAAACACATCCCTTCCACTACCCTCCTTACTGAAGTGACTCAACCTACCACATTAAACTGTGTCCAGATTTCTACTCCTTATTTAACAATTCCCAACTTCTACCTCCGCATTCCGCATAACTTAGGTTTTGCTCTAACAAGTTTTGATCTCCAGAGTGAATGTTGGAAAGCTGTGTGGTTCACCTGAAGCTTTCCTTATCAATGTTTTCTCCAGAGGCTTTACTGATCTCCAACCCCTAATCCCAATAAAAGGTTGACGTGTATATAAATCCCTACTGAATTTCAACATTGTGTCAACACTGTAGTGAAAGGGCTCAGGGTTCATTCAGCTCCTTAGTAGAGTGACAGTAGGCCCTGGATTCATTCTGGGGTGAGGTGAGGAAGGGATCCCGGGTGCACCTAACACACACAGAAACCAAACATTACAACTTAATCTGCTCACAGTTTCCAGCAAGTATATAGTTACATATATGGGACTTTGACTTTGAAAAACATGTGCAGAAGCATTCAGTTACTCTTGCTTCTCTAGTGCCACCAAAGTTCAGTGATGTTGTAAATGGTTTCTGCCTATAAACTTGGTTCAATCAAATTAAATATTACTTGACTGACTCATGGAGGGAGTGGTCTGACTTCTGTTCTGAGTCAAAAACTATCCAGTTCAGCAGTTGTGAACTATTTTCTACTGGTGAGGGTGTCCTGAAACGCCAGCTTTTTCCAGCTACTAGGTGTAACAAACCGCTGTCTTGGTAGTACCTTTGCATCTGGAGTTCAGCTTATAATTAACAGCACTTTCAAGTGAATTCTGACATGGGATTTGCAATCTCTTGACTTAATTATCTGCACACCCCAAGAGAAAAACTTTCACAAAGTGGCAACTTCAGTTCACTCCTCAGCTCCAATAAATGCTCCCTTATAACACACACAGAATACCCAAACATAAAAGTCTGCTACATTTCTTTCATCAGACTTCCCTCCCAGACATATCCCAGGTGCCTCATAAAAAAATGTCTCAAAGCACACACCCTGGGGCCCCAAGACAGTTTCAAGGCAGGATCTTCTCCTACATAAAAGTCTAGTTTAGCGCACCCACAAAGCCTCAAGTCAGCATCTCCTACAACAATCCTCTTGCCTCAAAGACACTTGTCTTCTCCATTAGTTTCCACAGCTCTCGTGAGTGCAAACTGCTAGATCACTGTAAGAAGGAGGAATTTCAAAGTCAGACATGCTACTGAGAGAATGGTTTGGGAAAAATCAGGTGCTTTAGATTACCTTAATTTTTAATCCAATTCTTACTATTTGTGTGACCTGGAACAAGTTAGTGAATAAAGTACCTGCTGCTGTGTATCTTTTCATCTCACTATGAAGTCCAGGGAGCACATCACCAAATCCCTAAGTGCCTGGCAAACAGAAGTGTCTCAAAAACATGCCAAAAAAAAAAAAAAAAAAAAAAGAATGCCAAAAAGGATAGCCTCCACCTCTATTGTGGCTGTGAGAATTAAATGAGAATTTAAAAAGCACCTGTAGCATAGTGGCACTTATTACCAATTACTCCCACCTCCCAGTGAATGACAATGCTACTCAAGCACTCAAGCATAGTATGCTACTTGCTGAGAAAAAGGACACTAAGAAATCTAAGCCACTAATTTCTACCTAAGCTTAGTTGGTCATGCCTGCCATCCCAGCACTTGGGATGCAAAAGTGCTACCCACAATGCCAGGCCAGCATGGGCTGCATGGTAAGTTCCAGGAAGGCTGCAGAAAACTGTTCACGTTTAACAAAAATTTTATCAGATGTTACATATATGTAAAATTTCTAACTTCAAGTAACATGTTGATTTTTGTTTGTAATTCTACACCCACTAACAAAAAAACAAAAAAACAAAAAAAACAACCTTTTAACCTTTCCTTATCCTGAACGTTTTTTTGGTAGTAGTAGCACTGGGGATTAAACCTAGGACTTCTCTTTACAAGTAAGTGCTCTACCACTGAGCTATAATATATCCCTTTTACTATTTTCAAGACCCCCTTTTACTATTTTGAGATAAGGGCTCACAAAGTTTCAAAAACTGTCCTTAAAATCTTCCATCCTCTGGCCTGACCTCCAAGCAGCTCAGATTACAGACCTGTGCCACCAGGCTCAGTTTTGCTTATTTCCAATTACTTTCTATGACTACATCATTAAATAGAAAATCTGTATCAGTAACTCTTCATCTTGATTCAGCCTCCTTCTACACGTATAATTTTAACACTTGAAAAACCGAGGCAGGAGAATCAGAGTTCAAAGCCAACCTGTTACAAAGAGTTTGAGACCATACCGAACTACAATTCCTAACTGGAATTTTTAAAAATAGTAAAATAAAACAAAAGAAATACTTCTTCAACCTCAGAAAGAAAAAGCCATTAACAATTATTTCGGATCATTCAACCCGAAACTAAAAATGTCAGGCTCAGAAAACAAAGCCCTGATAATTTGAGTTCTCCTATAGTCTTAGTTTCCTTTTGCACATTAACAAGGCTTAACTTCTCTCACTTCCTGTCTGAAACTACTCAGTAACACAGAGCGCGGAAACAAGTAAATACCATATACCAATCCAGTGATATCGACTCCAAACTTAAGCATTTCTGAATGCCTACAATAACGCTAGATTAGTCACTTTATAATCCGTGACAAATCCAAGGACAGAAACTCTACTATGGCACTTCCTTATCGATATTTATACTACGACTGTGTCTTGGGGGCTTTCCTGCAGAAGGACAAGAGAAGAGTCACAGCTAAAAGACACTGCGGTTTAGCCCATTAAATAACCTTGACCTGAACACTAAGCATTCACCTACCAAAAATAAAAAAATAAAAAGTTTACGCTTCCGAATACTTTACCGGCAAAAACTCAGGATCCTGGGCAAGAATCGAGCTCTGGGGAATGGGGGGTGGGGAGGACGGCCAAGGCATCTCTGGAAATTCATAAATTTACATACGTTTTTCCGAAAGGGGAGAGAAGCGCCAGGGATCAGCTTCAGGTTGGGGGGGGTGGGGGCGGGGGACTCAGCCCCCTTTCCCTTACTTGACCGTAAACTCACGGATCCCACGCTCCCGACCGAGTCAGGAGCCCCGGACACGGAGGTTCACCATCCACACAAAGACCGAGGGGGCCTCCAGGATGCCTGCGCTCGCGCGCCGGACAAACGCAGGCGCACCCCTGCACACCTCCCCGTCCGCCACGCTCCTCCGCCGCCCCACTCGCCCTCGCCGCCCCTTCGCCCCCACAAGGACACACGCCGCCCGCACACGCACCCTCTCCCGCATTCTTCCACGCTCGCTCGTTCGCTCCCCCACCTCGAGCCCCGCTCCCCGCCCCTGGCCCGGCCCGGCCCTCCTTCCGGGGACGTGTCTCGGGCCTGCTCTAATGGCAGCGGCGCCTCCCGCCCTCCCCTAGCCGAGGCCCGGGCGCCGCGCGGGGCCGCCCGGGAGGGGCGCACTCACGCTGGCGAGCTGAGGACTGGGCATTGAAGGCCGGCGGAGGCGGGAGCGAGGAGGCGCCTCTCTCCTCAGTCACCTCGGCGGCGGCGGCGGCGGCGGGAGCGGCGGCGGCGGCGGCGACGACTCCCCCCCA